CCATCATCATCCATCCATCATCTATCCATCCATCCATCTACCCATCCATCATCATCCATCCATCCATCCATCTACCCAGCCATCATCATCCATCCATCTACCCATCCATCCATTTTTCCATCCATCCATCTACCGATCCATCATCAGCCATCCATCTACCCAGCCATCATCATCCATCCATCTACCCATCCATCCATTTTTCCATCCATCCATCTACCGATCCATCTTCCATCCATCCATCTACCATCTATCATCATCCATCCATCTACCCATTCACCCATCCATCCATCCATCCATCATCTACTGATTCATCATCATCATCCATCCATCTACCGATTCATCATCATCATCCATCCATCTACCCATCCATCCATTTCTCCAACCATCCATCTACCGATCCATCATCAGCCATCCATCTACCCAGCCATCATCATCCATCCATCCATCCATCATCCATCCATCTACCGATCCATCTTCCATCCATCCATCTACCATCTATCATCATCCATCCATCTACCCTCTATCATCATCCATCCATCTGCCCATTCATCCATCCATTCATCCATCCATCATCTATCCATCCATCTACCGATTCATCATCATCATCCATCCATCTACCCATCCATCCATTTCTCCATCCATCTACCATCATCCATCCATCTACCCATCCATCCATTTATCCATCCATCCATCCACCCACCCATCCATCATCTATCCATCATCTACTGATTCATCATCATCATCCATCCATCTACCGATTCATCATCATCATCCATCCATCTACCCATCCATCCATTTCTCCATCCATCTACCCATCTATCCAACCATCCATCCATCCATCCATCATCATCCATCCATCTACTGATTCATCATCCATCCATCCATCTCCTTATTTCTCTCTCTGAACAAATGGAAGAAAATACAGTGAGCCTTCCCTCTCTGGAAAGTCAGAAATTAACCAAGAAGTAATTAAGTGCAACATAAAAATAATAATAAGTCTTATTATGTTTTTCAGGGTTTGTTTGTTGTTTTTTGTAAACTTCAACTTTTTTGACATTTCAAATATCATTTCAATTAAACAGCCTGTACACATTGGTGGACTAACCATTAGACAAACATTAAATATAATTTGGTTAATTACCAATACTTTTAATTTGGGTGGTCTAATAGATGTATTAAACACTGTAAATATAAGTATATGGGATATAGTGAGAAAGAAAAAAAAGGTCAGTTTGAACCTGGATCTTAGGTCTACACTTATAGTCAGGTCTGATTAGATGGAAGAGACACAAGCAGTAAATCACAAATGTGTTGGTATAAGGTTGAAATATGATTTGTCATAATGGGTAAAAAGTATTGGTGAGAAAAACTGGTGATAATGAAAACACATCAAGAGTAGAGGCATGGCCATATTAGTAAGTACTCCAGTTATGGCCTTGGCTGGACTGAGGGGAACAGCACTCCAAATACACACACACACACACACACACACACACACAACGATACAAGAGGGGATTTCCACCGCCTCCACCCGACACAAGGACCTTTCTGATCAGTGCTCAGACCTACAGTTTGTCCCACAGGGGCAGGCAGGAAAATACATATGTACAGTCCAGCCACACAAACACAGTGACACACGCACACTTGATGGCTAAGATGTCTTGTTACCGCACACACTGCCATACAAACAAGTACTTTCCAGCTGAGAGAAGCGGAGCCGGCAGGAAAGCTTGGGGGGTGGGGGTGGGGAGAGATTTGAGGTCAGCACTCTGTCTCAGTTTCAATTTAATATTGAAAAGTTTTTAGTTGTTTTTCACTAAATCCAGCGAAATCAGCAGCCCGAGGTAACATTAAAATTGAGAAAATGCAGGAAAAGGGCAAGAGTGAATGAAATAAAGAGAAATAAAAGGAACAGAAAATAAAATCCAGATAAAGAACACATGGCCTGTTTTTTAATGTTACCAGCATTCCTCTTACGGTGTCAATCCATAAGTCACTGATTGTTTTTCCTTTCCCTGTTTCACATGCATTTTAGCGCCGGTTCCAAAATGTTTTATAATTCTTAGATCCGTCTTTTATTTGATTATTAGCATAATTTTTCAGATTTCCCCATAAAATTTAAATTCACTCAGCTCCTCCACAAGAACAACATTTTGTTGGTTTATTTACTCCACATTTTATGAGAGACTTCTTCACAAACACACACACAGACTCAAATGAGGTTATTTAAGGACCATTGTGCCCACAGGACATCAGACAGGACTGTTAAAGCTGTTTGTGTTTGTGTGTGAGCAACAGCTGCATCTGTCATCCTCCCATGGGCATAGAGACAGTTTGCCCGTGATGCAAAGGTAGATGCAGCAGGGCATGTCAGCTGCGGCGCATTATCAGCAGCCAGCATCTATGTGGAAGACTGTTAGCTTAATTGTGAGCATGCACCGACACACGCTGGGACACAAAACCCACTCTGACTAAAGGGGTCAGTTGAGGACCAGCCCTCCCCACACCTGCTCAGTCCTAATTTCTGCTTTTCGTTGACCAAGAATTCACCGTGTAAACATTCAGGTTTCGAAGGGTGACGTCCCACATTTCTAGTGAACCAGCGTAAACAGACCACACACGCACTTAAAGAGAAGCCAAACTTTGACGCTGGTCAACTGGCAGCAGCGCCCGATTTGTAAATGGCAGAAAAAAAAAGCAAGAGAGAGACTGAGGCACTCTCTTTCTTCATCTCCTGCTTTACCAGAAAGTGAGTTGATCTGAAACCCTCCGTGCGGTTACACAACACTTCCTAACAAAGACCAGAGATGGTACATTGAGGTAGGGGAGGGTAGCGCTGCATTTGCAGGTCTTACAAACTCAAGTTTGGCTTGACATTCACAGAAATGTCATTGACAAGAAATCTGAAAAGTCAAGTTGAGGACGAAGAGCGGTGGTGGAGTTTGTGGTTTCGGGGCCTTCTTGCATAACCTCGATACATTTCTTGATCAAAACATTTCTCCAAGCTGGGTTCTGAGAAGTGACAAAATGACATCATGGCTACGTATTTCATTAGCAAACATTTATCTGATTTACTGGGACTCAGAATGTGAGTAATATTTCAGTAGATGACATTTCATTACCCTGCGGCTGTTTGATATTAAGGATGGGAGGGTAAAATTAACCCTCTAGCCATCCTGTTATATTGGAGACAAAGCTGGTAAATTCACTGCTCAGGGACGCAGTGCTGGTAAAACATGCTGCTTCCTTTTTTATGTGGTTGTGACCCTCCAGAAGCAGCACTGTGACATATTTAGGATGTTGATTCACAGATTAAATATTCTGATGTGTTGTAATCATCCACGTCTCTCGTGCCAAAGCTACCAGCTTTTATATTTGCTGCAGCGGCGGAGATGGCGAAACAGACTGACTGTCTGTCTGTCTGAAGAATGCAGCTGTTACACTTGCTAACAAACTAGCAAGCGCGTCTCTTTATCTGTGTTTAATGTTTCTCACTTTAGTAAACAGAATTTGTGTGGCGAAGGTTCAAATCCAGTCTGGAATAATCTATGAAATGAGATTCTTGGAAGCAACAACACACTTGAAGTAAACATTAGATTTGCATTTTTTGCAGGGTTCGGGGGTCCTATTGTTTCACAGCATGTGAGTACAGTTCAGTGCAACAGTGTGACTACCTGCATTTAAACTGAAAGTCACTTACAACCACAAAACATAACAAAGGCGCTTTGACTGGGCCACACAGCGTGTACGTGTTTGAGTGCTAGACCCCCTTATGTAGCTTGCTGGCTCTAATCCCCCCCCCTGCTTATACATTCCTCCCCAATTATACACATTTCTGTGAGATTTACTATAGAAAAGAAAAGCAACGCACGAAACGACTCTGCCCCATAAAGGCTGGACGATTACAGCAGAAAGCTAATCAAATCCTGTGTCTACGCTTCTGTTACTGCCTAAAAACAAAGACTGGAATGAGAACTGTGTGACTGGAAGATTCATTCATGTATTTATCTGTATTACTGGTACGTGACCTAATTTCAAAGATTGTTTTGAAGAGGGCTGGGCCTCTTTCAGAAGTTCTGTTGCAGTGAATTCATTCTTCCATTAAGCCAAGTCTAACCCAGACAGTAACTTTGTTTTATCTTTGCATGCAAGTGTTAAGATTTTATGTGGCTAAAACTTCAGTTACAGCAACATTAACCCAGAAACAGTCCAAACGGGCCTTTGCTCCAAAATGAATCGCGCACAAGTCTGAGGTTTCTCCGCCTCCGTCGCGTGCACATTGTTCGCAGAGACACGGAGTGATTTACGCACGTAGGACATGAATGTGAGGAGTACACGGTGAGGAGCGAAACGAGCTCAGGGACAGTCTGACACGGCACGGTCTGAAGCTTCGCTGAGACCTGAGGCGCCTTGTCTTGAGTCGTACAAACAGTATCCCTCTTATCTGCCCGCTCGTCACTTTCTGATGTAAAAACCTTCACAGTTTCGAATCTGTATCTCTCCCGCTGATAAAAAGAGAGACGTCAGTGTGTTTGGCCTTATTGCCAGCTCGGCTCTGAGGACCTGTGAGCGTGAAGCGCCTCGTCCTTGAGCTGCATGCTCACGCACTCGCTTCATCTCACAGCAGTTTCCAACATTTCTATATATCCAAAACTTGGGTATGCCCACCAAAAAAATGCACACAGACCGGGCTTTGTCTGTATTACCTGGGGTGAACTCCTGCATTGAAAGCAACAGCACTGACTAGACTGAATGAGCCTCATTGTCATGCTGACTGGCCTTTGGCCCTCAGGTTGATTTGCATGGATCAGAGGAGCCGTGGGACCCCGCTCAGCCAGACTTCTGTCAGTGTCGATGCTGCTGCTGCTTTATTCTCCTTTTTAAGCTCCAGAGAAGCTTCCAGACTTAGAATCAAAAGGTGTAAGTGGTGCATCTGAATTCAGGGATTATGAGAAGTGTTGGGTATAGAGCAGCTGTTGGTGGTCCTGCTCTCTAAAACACCTCCAGACTGATTTGACACCAACAGATTTACTCACTTCTCACTTTCTGGGGGCGTGGCTAACACGTGGTCAATCACAGTGCTTTTTTTCCCCTATTCCAAATATCTGACTGCAGTAGAGATAAAGCTGCTCTTTTTCCTTGATTCTTGTTTACGTGATCTTGGGTCCAGCCCAGTAGCCCCTCTTTGACTCAGTGTAAAGCCTGTGCATTGCATAGAGAAGCATCTTCCCACTAAAGAGCTGTTTTTGTGCAGGTTTAGATAAGAAATACCATCAGTTTGTTGAACTTCATCAAAAAAAGAAAGAATCCTACATCTCTGCTAGTCTTCAACAGGTGCCTGTAGCTGTCCCTCCCCACTTTTCCACTCAAAGTGGAAAGAGAAGCAGAATATAGTGTGTATAGGCTGCAGGAAGAAGCCTTCATCACTCATCGTTCATATATTACACAGTGAATTGTCTCCGATGAGACACCGTCACCCCTAACCTCCTACTAGAGGTGGGAATCACCATACATCCCACGATACGATATTATCACAATACTTAACGCACGATACGATATTATTGCAATTTTTAAAAAATATTTTGCGATATTCAGATTCTGTACATAAAGGTAAACTTTATCAACATTCATTTTCTCTAATATCAAAGTCTCACACTCAGTCTTTCTCTCATTTCAGTTTTATTGTTGACAAACTGAACGGTTTGTATTACAGTCTAGTCCAACTTAACTGAATCAACCATCTGGTACAATTATAGCTATTCTGAACTATGCAGTTTATGAAAACTATGCAGCCCCTTCAGCAACTGAAGAATTTGAAAGTAAATTAAAACAAAATATAATTTTACATGAAATAAAAAAGTTTTAAACTTAATTCAAATAAAACACGTCTTAAATTAAAATAAGTAAACTGTCATGTTTATTGCTGCCAAAAAAAAAGTTAAACACATTTGGACAGTGAAGGAATGTCAGGATTCTTGCTCAGAAAAAGGATCAACATGCTCTGAAGTCAGAGCACAAAAACCTTTTTTGTAACAAAATATCGATTTCTGCTGTCCCTGTATCCATACATTATTAGCAAACAAAATATCACCATACTACACAGTATCGATTTTTTCCCCCACCCCTAACCTCCTACTGTGTTATTTATTATTTATTATGTTACTGCGGTGTCCGGCTTTATATGGTAAATGGCTTGTATTTGTATAGCGCTTTTACTAGTCCCCCCCCAAAGCGCTTTGCACACCCAGTCATCCACCCATTCACACACTGGTGGAGGCAGCTACGGTTGTAGCCACAGCTGCCCTGGTCAGCTTGGTTCCTTTAGTGTTATTTGTGTGATTAAACTGCGGTGCATTTAAAGTTGTGTTCATAGCTGTAACATGCCATTCAGAAATTAGATCAGTCACGACATTATTTTTGCAAACACTGCTGGGGTAGAGGCTCCACGTTAGCTTTCATCACAGGCTGAAGCTTCAATAAAAGAAAAGTCATTTCCCGCCTCGCATCCATACACATATACACACACACATTCATTTGCCTTTTTGTTACTTTCTGTTCATTTCTAGGGAAGCTAACCGGCTACTTTTTAATGATATCATATTTGACCTTCTCTCCCTTCTTTCTTTTGGATTTAGTACTAAAGTCAATTAACCTATTAACATATTAGACGATTGCTTTAAATGGCAAGTAACCAAACAAACTGGGACACAATAGCCATGGTTAACTGGGAGCTTTTTTTTCTGCGCTAATACGGTGACCTGGCGTGTTCCTCGAGTGGGTTTCAAATCACAAAAGCAACAAAGTGCATGCTCAGTAATCACAATTATTGTTTTAGTTTTAAATAAACACTCATAGACAGCTTTACTACTGTAAAGTACTTACTACTAATTTAAGTAGAAGTCAGAAATCAAAGGGTTTCCAGGAGGGGAGCTTCAGAACTACCAGGAGATGCATCACTGCTGCTAGATTTAGTGTCATGTCAGAAGAGCTACATGTGAAAATACATTTCAGGTGACAAATTGGAATCATTCGTTTGGTCATAAACGATTAGTGTTATTTGTATTTTGACGGCTCGAACTTGTGAAATAAAATATGGACCGCTTCCATGTGCTCCATCCCAGGCCTCATATCATCTTATCTCAAATAACGGGGCCGTAAACAGCCTCACCAAGGTGATGTGCACTGCAGCTAGACAGGCTCTCTTCACATGTCACGCTTCTTCTGTTTCTTGGCGTCAGGACCTGAAAAACATTCTGCTGAGGCCAAGCGAGAAATCATTTTAGTCCGGAGACTTTTCCAGCTGTTGTTGAACTGTTGTCAAGAAAAACATGACTGTCTCATTAACATTATCTTGGCTGTATTTAGCGTGCAAGCCGTGAAACGGAGCCAATTCTGGCTGGTCCGGGTCGGGATAAAGTCGAGTTAACGAGCGGGGCAGGAAAGGCACCAGAAGGGTTCTGCGATGAAGGGCTTTGCGTGCAACGAAGGCTCGAGAAACATATGAAGACCAGCTGAAGCAAACCTCAAATAACCTCAAACAGCATGCCTACTTATGATGGGTAAGCATGCCTTGTGTGTCACTTCGGGCCAGCCCGTGTGTGTTTATGTGCGCCTCCCAGACCACATTACAAAATCAAATTGAACCAATAAAGACTGTTGGCAGCGGTGAGCACGCAAGACAAGATTGATTGTGTTCATCCAAACTGGCTAAGTAAGACTTCCTGATTGAATCAAGATTAAATACGACTCCCTCCCTGAGTAACAGCGAAATAGTCACGCGGCATTCACGGTGCAACTGAAGAGTTTCGAAAAAGATACATGAATTTAAATCGTTGCAGAGAAACAATAAGCTAAAGTTGCTTTTCTTATTTTTTTCTCTTTGTTGGTAAAAAGGTGGCTTTTTATTAAAGCGGGCTGTTTAATCATTGACTCGCTTTTTTAAAAGAAGCTGGCTTCCTGCGCTGCTCCACAAAGAGGACGCAGTAGCTGTGGTGTTTTTCTGGCAGGTCGGGTTGGGGGGAGTGCAAAAAGCTTCCCAAATACCCAAACAAAAGGCCCTGTCTGTGAAGCAGAGAGCGTTTGAATCCATCTGCACAGAGCTGAACAGGCCTGCTGGCAAGGGAATACTTCAGGGGAAGGGCACCCGTCTACTTTATGACTGTGCTGACGTCAATGGCATAATTCAAATACTTGCAGAGTGCATGCTTCCAGCTTTCTGAACCTGCTCTCTCTCTCTCTCGCTCTCTGTGGCGGGCTGCAGATAAAACCCGAAGCGGAGCAGGACTCCGGTAAAACAGAACATCCAAATAAAAACAGGAGCGGAGTCACGGCTGCGCTCGAACAGCATCAAACCACATGGTGTTCATTTACTCGGCCTTCAATGCTCACAAAGCCAAAAGTGACAGATTGATACATCTTTGGAAATGAATTGTAAATTTGCTCACGGAGAGCGTAATATTACTTCAAAGGAGACTTTTGAAACTTTAATTGGTTTGAGGGGAAAATAAATCCTATTAGGGAGAACTGCAAGTGTTTTTTATGGTTTTTATAGATTAAAGAGGAAGAAGAAAAGAAAACTGAAATCAATTAAACCCCTTTCTATGAAGGATGTTTGTCTTTCACTGAAAGAGGGAAGTGACACCGCTTTTTGTGTGAAGTGGTGGACGTATGTGACGTACAGCAGGCCTACAGCCACTATATACACGCTGTAAAATAAGGTAATGAAACAAGGACTAAAAAACAAAGAAAAGAGTAGCATTCAAACCAATTAAGGCAGTGGTCTCCAACCTTTTTTGCGCCACGGACCGGTTTATGCCCGACAATATTTTCA